GTAGCAACGATGAAACATACAACTTTCCTCTAGTTCCTAAATGCACCCCCCCCTCCCCACCACTATCATGATCCCAATTCTACCTTACAAATCTGGCTAGAACAGAGGATGTACACTTGTATAGATAGGAACTGGAAACACAGGGAATCCAGGGTGGATGATCCCTTCAGGACCAGTGGTATGAGTGGCGATACTGGGAGGGTGGAGGGAGGGTGGGTTGGAAAGGGGGAACCGATTACAATGATCTACATATAACCTCCTCCCTGGGGGACGGACAACAGAAAAGTAGGTGAAGGGAGACGTTGGACATTGCAAGATATGACAAAATAATATTTTGTAAATTATCAAGTGTTCATGAGGAAGGGGGTAGCGGGGAGGGAGGAGAAAAAATGAGGTCCTGATGCCAGGGGCTTGGGTGGAAAGCGGATGTTTTGAGAATGCCGAGGGCAATGAATGTACAAGTGTGCTTTACATAATTGATGTATGTATGGATTGTGATAAGAGTTGTATGAGCCCCTAATAAAACGATTTTAAAAAAACTCAAAAAAAAAAAAAAGAGTGACAATGTCAGAAACCCACATGGGCCGGTCTACCCTGTCCTGTCAGGTCACTGTCTGTCAGAACTGACCCGAGCCCATTGCGTTTGAAGGGGCCTACACAAGAGGGTGAACAAATCATTCTTAGAATAAAGGCAGCCAGGCAACACAACACGGTGGGAAGCGGCCTGGCACATCCTCACACAACGGGACATGGAAATACCATGTGGCCGAGCCACCCCTCCCCTCCATGTGGGCCCTCAGAAACAAGGAACAAGCCAGGAGCAGATTACACACACCCATGCTTATCAGCACAGCACGGCTCACACTTGCTGGAAGATGGAAAGTACCACGATGCCCAGCAGAGGAAGACTGGGTGGATAAACCACGGATATTGTGCATTCCTAAAGAATCACTAGGAGGCGGAACCCACTCCACACAGCACCTACCCACAACCACAAAGAAGAGTGGCGGGGGCTCTGCCCAGGACCCCGTGACGTGGGCCAATATGCTGAGCGCAGCCAGTCAGTCCCAGAAACCACTGTCGAAGAAAGAACATCAAGAAAAATGGATCTCACACCAAAATAAGTGGACTTGGATGGTGACGGAGAAGCGGGGTGGGGGGGGATGGGGGGGGGAGAAAACACATAAATACAATTTATTTTTTAAAAGGAAAAATGTATATTGATAGTAACATACATGGATAGACACATAGATACGGACTAAACACACACACACACACAGAGAAATAACTCATTGTCATCTGGTGGATGCTGACCCCTAGCGATCCTATAGGACAGGGTAGACCTGCCCCTGTGGGTTTCTGAGACTGTAACCCTTTAAGGGAGTAGGAAGCTCTATCTTTCTCGGAGGAGTGGCTGGTGGTTTCAAACTGCAGACCTTGCAGCTGGCAGCCCAAGGCATAAGCACAATGCCACCAGGGCTCCTAGATAGATACGAGGGAGCTGATAATTGAAAGGAAGTTAACATTTGTAAAGGAAACCCAAACCATTTATTCCATGGCCCGGCAACGTGGGACAGGGGAGTGGGAGAGGGGCTGGTGAGTCGGAGGGGAGGTCAGGGCGGGGGCGGGGAGGAGAAAGAACGTAACTGGAATACTCCTTCTGGCTCTCACCAGGAGAGACCAGTGACTAGAAAGGGCCTTGTGGGGGGCAAAGTAGAGGGTGAGTGACCGTGAGGGTGGCCCTCCTCGAGAAGGGCAGGTGCAGTGGCCACCGCAGTGGCGGCAGCAGAAGGAGGCTCATGAGGACAGTGCCCCACCTGGCCATGTCCTGCAGTCGGAGAGGACACCTGGACGTCCAGCAGGCATCACAGACCCCGTGGTCGCCAGGCGACTCATGAGGCAAGCCCGCTGCCCGGAAATACTGACCAGACACGGCCCAGACGGCCTCGTCCACCTGCCGGGGCTGCTCCGTGATGTTGTACACGATGACCTCACACTCCATCAGGCGCATGAGGAGATCTTCTCGAGAGAGGGCCTGCAAGAGAAGACAGACGGACAGCCCTCTGTGGCAGGAGGCCCCCGGGAACCCGGGTGCTCAGGCTGGGGCACAATGCCTACAGGATGCCCCAATGGAGTCCGGCGTAAGGCGGGCCTTTGGCACCTTCTGTGAGCAGGTTTCAAGATGAAAACAGGTGGAGTCCTTACATAGCACATTGGTTACATGCTAGACTGCGAACCGCAGGATACCGGTTCAAACCCACCAGCTGCTTTGCAGGAGAAAGAGGAGGCTTTCTGCTCTTGTAAAGAGTGACAGTCTCGGAAACCCACAGGGGCATGTCCACCTTGTCCCGTGGGGTCCCTGTAGGTCAGAGTGGACTCAAAGACAAGGAGTTTGGCTTGAGCTGGGGGCGACAGGAGCCTGGAGCAGATGATTTAATGCTTGCGTCATCATCTTGGGACAATTTCTGCTTGTGAGTTAAACAAATCCAGCTCAGTGGAACTACAAGCTTTGAGAGGACCCACTCCCAGCCGATGGGCTGAGCAGCTTTTAGGGGACTCACTCCGCATGCTGGGGAGTGTGCCACCAGGATTGCTTCAGAAACCCCCCAATGGAAGGGACCCGTGGGTTCTCATTGGTGGTGGTGGGGTGGGGGCTTATTGCAGTTGGCCACGAGGAACATTTCTTAAAGCATCCCCCTCAAAAAACAACCACCTTGAGGTGGGTCTGACTCCTTATGTCAGTGGACAGCCTCTTTCGCCCAGGAAGTGGCTAGTGGATTTGAACCTCCGGCCTTTGGGTCACCAGCCCCATGCTTCCCTGGCAGCGCCACCAGGGCAAACAGAGAAGGTATCCATGGTGAGAAATGAAACTTTCTCACGTTAGGCAAAAAGGAGTCCTGGCCAGCTGCCTGGAGGAGGTGGCATGCACGCTGAGTGATATGTGTCCCAGGCTCTAAATGTGGGGTCTGACAGGAGGGTGCAGAGAGCAGCTGGCCGGAGGAGGATACCGCCCCTCAGATCTCTCTCAGTGCCCCGGGGAACAAGGCCTGGAGAGTTTGTCTAGTCCCTGCAATGCTTCGCTAGACGAGAGCAGTACGGCCAGGAGGTGCCCTGGCCCTGCGCCCACAGGGTTGGCAAACGCTGCTTCTTGAAGTAGCTTGCCAGGCTTTTCTTCTGAGGTCCCACCCCCCACGCGCGCGGAGGGCACTGCCCTTTCCTGACTCACGGAGTAGGTCTCCACCGCAAACTCGGGCTGGCGGCTCTCGGGCTTGGCCAGCGTGCCCACGACCTGGAAGGTGCCTTCCTTGAGTTTGGCCGATAAAGCTTCCGGGACCGCTGACTTGTTCTCCTCTTCATCCTCCTCCTCCTCAGCGATTTCTTCCAGTGAAGCCCCGATGACGCAGTTGGATAGAAACTGCAGAAAACAGAAAGTCTCCAAATGCTAAGGAGCCAGAGCCAGAGGTGGGGTCAGTCCTGACCCCTGTGGCCCTGCTGAGAGTCTATGCCGTGTGGACGAGACCCTGTTAGTATCGCTCCCTGCCTGTGAGTCAATGCCAACTCCCAGCCACCCTACAGCATGGGGTAGGGAAGCCCCCGTGGGCTTCTGAGACTGGAACTCCTGATGGTAGTTCCCACATGGGTCAGCTGGTGGTTTCAAACCACCAGCCTTGCAGATCGCAGCCCAACTATTAACCACTACGCCACCAGGGCTCCTATTGCTTTCCAAAGAGTCTTAAATTTGACGTACTTTCTGTAGAGACAAAAAAATGTATGTTTTTTCCAGCAGCTCCCTGGGAGAAAGACAAGGCTTTCTACTCCCATAAAGCGTTACAGCCTCAGAAACCCACAGGGGACAGCTCTACCCTGTCCTATGGGGTTGTTGTAAGTCAGAATCAACTTAATGGCAGTAAGTTTGCTTTTGCTTTTAGTTTTTGTAAGCGGTGATACCAACTATGCAACCCCTCCTGACAGAGCTGAAAGTGCTGGGGTCTAGCTATACTCCTATCTTCCGCGCGCACACATGTATCACACACACAACATAGAACAATCGTGAAAATTCTCCAAAACTGACTGCCACTGGGTCTGTTCAGGGATCTTACAGTGGTGAAGTGGTTCCGTGCTGGCTGCTAACTGCTGCCACTCCTCGGGAGAAAGATGGGGTTCTCTACTCCTGTAAGGAGCTACAGTCTTGGAAACCCACAGGGGCAGTTCTACCCTGTCCTGTAGGGTCACTCTGAAGAATTCGTGAAAAGCGATGTAAGACTCACAACTTTAAGCATGTTTCAATGGCTGCATACCAGAGCTTGTTTAGCTGTTGCCGAAATGTGATTAGACCCAGGTTAATTGTTTCAATGTTTACTTTGTAGAGCATCAAGCTAATGTTTATAACTAAGATGATATTGACCATTTTTAGAGACATAAGTTGAAGCATGTGTTAAATCCCCCCTTAAGGGCACTAAGAAAATATTGAACTTCAAGTATGGAGAACCTGGGGGAGGGGTGGCGTGATTTGCTTATTCGTTGACTGTTTTCTCTCGAGAGGCAAGTCCTTCAGACACACATATCACATATAATATGCATACAAATCACATACATCAGACACATGCATCATACATACTATACGCACATCATAGCAAATGTTAATTATATAGTGTCTATTATGTAATTATGAACCCCATGTAAAAATGATATGTTTACATATAAATGGAGTAGTCGTTTTTCTGTGTTTTTTTTTGAGTAGTCCACTATCTGCTCTTCGGGAGAAAGAAGAGGCGTTCTGGTCTCAGAAACCCAGAGGCAGTTCTACCCTGTCCTGTAGGGTCTCTATGAGTCGGCGCTGCCTGGTGGCAGTGAGTTTGTTTGGGGTTTTTAGTACTTTCCCAGGCGCCTTTAGGTGAATTCGACTCTCCAACCTTCGGTGACTGCCCACCTAAGGAACCCTGAACCCATTTGCTGGAGGACGAGTGACGCGAAGGCGCTTCCCCTCCCAGCCTCAGTTTCCCCCAGGCAATGGGACAGGGATGAATCTGGCCAGAGGCTGCGAGCTGCCCGCTCACCTTGCCGATGTTTCCACTGCTGTACGTGTCCAGCTGGTTCACAAACACCCTCTGGACACGGATCACTTTCTCGGCCGGGGCCGGACTCTCTTCCTCAGCCATGGAGGGAGCCGCGCTGGTTGCTAGAGCGAAAGCGTCCCCTCCGTTGCCAGGGGATGTGGGAGGCTGGACGGGGCGTTCCTAGGGCGGGGCTAGATCGCCGGGTGGGGCGGGGCTAGGGTGCTGGGCGGAACCTCCGCGGGCAAGCCGGGACGCTGCGTGGGGAGCTTCCGGGGCGGGGCGATTCAGAGACGGGCGTTCCCGGGGCGGGGCTACAGCTCAGGATAGGTGCGCATGTGCAGGGGTGTACCGGGGCGGGGTTAGGATGCAGGATGCGCATGCCAAGCGGGGTGCTTCAAACCACCGTTAAGGGGGAAAAGACTAGGAAGTCGGCAGGGGCGTTACCAGGGTGGGCTACAGAGCAGGGTGGGGCTACTGAGCCGAGCGGGGCCTTGGGAGCTGGCTGGGCCTGTCCCCCTCCAGCAGGCCCCGTCATGCGCCCTCTGATCCGCCCGCACTCTGGTCCTTGGTACTAGCCACATGGGCCCATGCCGTCTGGACTTTTCATCTCTGTTCGGAAACCGCGTTGCCTTGCTAGGTCCCCGGCGTCATCTTTGACTCATAGACACGCCCATGTACCGCAAAGTAAAATGCCCTCACAATTGAGCCTTCCTCCAATCCGCATGCCGCGTTGCTTCATCTAGTCCATCTTCGAAGATTATTTGCACGGCATACGGATTGAAACGAGATGGATTGACCCAGTGGCTGTATCAACGTGCCCCAACGTGGCAACACAGGTCGCGGATGGCTCAGGAGCGCCGTGTTTCCTTCTGTTGTGCAGTCACTGTGAGTTGGAGCTGACTCAAAAGCACCTAACCACATGGATGATCTTGAGCTTTTCTGTGTTTCCAACATTATTTTGCATAATGGTTATATTTACATATGCAATAACTTTATGAGTTTCTTTTAAATACTGGTGTCTCAGCTAGTGGAGGTGGCCCAGGACTTTGGGCAGCGTGGAGCCCTTGCCTGGCTGTGGTTTTCCAGGCAGTGCTGCTCGAGCTCCCGACCCTGCAGTTTTTGTGGGAGCCGCAGGCCCATGCATTAGCCTTCCTGAAGCTGCCACAGACCCAGGTGGTGCAGAGGGTGCAATAGTGGGGTGCTAAGAGAAAGGTTGGCGTTTTGAACACACCAGCTTTCTACTGGTGAAAGATGTAACAGGGATTCCGTAGACTCAGAAACAATGGAGTTCTTCCTGTCTATGGTAGTTACGTAATCTGGTTTCAGTTTGGGTCTTGAGAAGATTAAGAGTGAAGGGATGGAGTCTAGTCTGTCAATCAGGTCATAGCCAGTGAGGCCTCGGTGTGGGCACGGCCTCCCCCTGAGGATTCTGGGAACTCCTGTATTTCCTCCTTGGAGACGGAGACATGCTCTCTCGCTCACTCCATGAGATGCTCTACTGACAAGACACATGGCACTGCGCTGATAGAGCCCCTGCCCTGAGCTGGAGGAGCCACATGGAGACCCCTGCCAGCGCTGAGATGCTTCTACCGCCACTGGATCCAGAAGACTTTGCACCCACTGGCCTGTGATCTTCCTGCATTTGGTGTCATTGCATGTGTTTCGTGAGTCTGAAGAGGGCTTTATAGATTGTATCGGACATATGGGCTAACATCCGACTGATGGACTTGATCTGGACTGGACTGTTTCCTCAATATTCAATTGCTCTTGTATAAAGCTTTTTTACACACTAGTTTCTCTAGTCCACTCAGACTGACACTGTCCTGTAAGGTCAGGGCTGACTCCAGGGTAGCAGGGTTTTGTTGGAGGCTATAAAACCTGTTACAAGTGGATTGGGGCTGGCAGTGACCCTACCAAACCTAGCCAAACTCACTGCCATCAAGCCAACTAATTCATAGCCCAACCCAATTGCATTTCCACTTATCTCACATGCATTCGAAGGCAGGATTATCAATGAGGACTTAAAGCACAATTGATGCCTTTGAATTACGGTGTCGGCAAAGAATACTGGAAGTACCAGGTACTCCCAGAAGAACAGATCTGTCTTAGAAGGCAGAGAACAGGGAGATCTTGTGTCACATACTTTGGACGTATCATTAGGAGGGGCCAATCCCTAAAGGCCACCACACTTGGTAAAGGAGGTCAGTTCCAGGAGATGGAGTGACACAGTGGCTGTAACAATGGGCACCATGTAGCACTTGTGAGGGTGGCACACAGTCAGGCAGTGTTTCGTTCAGTTCTTCATAGGGCCACTGTGAGTTGAAGGCAACTAGCAACACATGGTGACTTAACATCAGGGGTCCACTCCTTAGAACACTGGACCAGCCAGATCAAAGGGCAGCGCTTGGTCTGGGAGTAAGCTCGGAAGGCAGGGAGACAAGGACCCAAGACATGGGAGGAGAGTTGGCTGCCATCAAGGTGAAAAACTCGTATTAACTATTGGGTGGAAAACCAATTGCTCTGTAAGCTTCATATGCAGCATGCACGTGTACATGAGCGCGTGCACACACACTGAAGGGCTCTTCATGCAGCCTCGGCTCGGTGCTGCTGTCATGCTAACATACAGGCTGACAAAGGGGCGCTGAGGCCAGCCTAGCACCTGTGTTCTACTCCCCCTGCCCATCCGATGTCTCCAGCACACAATGTCAGTCCTTTCCAGGACCTCACCACCTCTTCAAGGACCCCCGGGGCAGACACACCCCCCTAAGGGGTCTGGCTGTTTTCAGCCAGGTAATACCCTCCATCTACTCCATAGTTGAAACACACAATCTAAGGGAGAAAATGTGAACTATTATTAAACTAGTATTTGCCCTTCTTTCCCCGACATTATTTTCCAAAAATGGTTATACTGTTTTTCACATACTATACCTTTATTTTCGGTCATTTTTTTCTCATAGACTTTTAATGGCTGTACATCACATCACACCACTAAATGGACCTCTCTATCATAGCTTAACCAGTCTGCAGAGCCTTTCCCTGTTCTGAGACCATGGGCATCCCTGCAGGGTGTCCACTGTGGTGCCACTTCTCTGTGCTCAGTGTGGAAGTAACCGCTGTATTTTATAGCAGCTTTGGAAAGGCCCCATAACTATTTTCTAGAAGTTTCCTCAATATACCCTCCAGTGTAAGGTCATGAGTCATCCTGAAACAATCCCATTTCTCCATTTAGGCTGTTGAGCCTCATAGGGACCCTGTAGAATAGTTGAACTTCCCCATTGGGTTTCCAAGGCACTAAATCTTTACAGGAGCAGCCAGCCTGGCCTTTCTACCTCGGAGTTGCTGGCAGGTTGGAACTGCTGACCTTTCGGTTGACAGCTGATGGCTTAACTATGATGCCACCAGGGCTCCTTTTTAACTTTGTCAACAGATAGGACTAAGAATAGGCAGATGACCCAGTTATTTTTCACTTTCCTTACTGGCCAAACAGCTTTCAAGAGGTTCCCGGGGATTCCTATTTCCTCTAAGGTTCTGAGACAACAGATTCGTGACGGTTCCGTATTTAGAGGGGTGCTTTATTTCCCCACGGTTTAATTTATCCAGCTAAGTTCTCTGAGCGGTTAGCCACCAGGGCCCTGAATGTTCTCCCGTGCCTCTGGGGGGAGAAGGGCGACCCTCCCTGTCACCCCAAATCAAGATGCAGCCACGCAGGAGTCAGAAATGGGAGCCGATGCTGGTGGGATCAATTGTTTATCAAAAAATGAACTGTTTCCATTTTTAAACATACAATCACTTTTCGCCATATGGAACTCAAAATAGGAAAAACTGATTTTATTCAAACCTTACAAATCTCCCTTACAATTAGCCTGAGTTTAAGCGTGAGAAAGTTCAACCTGAAGTCAGATGTCATGTCCGGGGCAGTTAGGCCGCTCATGAAGGTCAAGTGGGCAGTGGAATGTGATGAAAGCATCCGGGGGCCTTGGACCAGGAAGCAGCTGCAGTTGGGACCGTCTGCTCTCAGGGGTAAGGTCTTCAAGCCCACAGGTCCCAAGTCTTTACTTGTGACAGATGGGGCACATCTGTCAGTGAGAGGGGAGGGTGGCCAGGGCAGGATCTGGTCCCAGGCCCTCTGGGGAAAGCAGAGTCCACTGTTGTTACCCTTGGGCGCTTGTCTAGGCAGGGGCCCAAACACGGGACTGGTAGTAAAGTATGAAATGCGGACTTCCATGTGTCAGGCATGAGCCTCCGGGCGCTTCACTCTTCCTTTGGTTTGGGACCTCGGCCATGCGCTTGGGCGTTTCGGTCCGGTGACTCTGCGGGGGGAGGGGGTGCACGGTACAGAAAGGAGACATGGAAGCAAAAATACTTTCTGGCCGAGCTGTCCTGTACACGTGTAAACAAACACTCGGAGTGAGAATCCACGCAGGCCAAAGGCTGGGATCCACCTCCTCCGACCCCATGCTGCTGGGGACGCTGCGGTCCGAGAGACAGGAGTCTGGTCTGTGCTTAGGACTAGAGACAAGTCATCGGTACATTCATTTGCCAACGGTCTGTCCTCTGCTGGGCCAGTGACCCTCTGGCTGCTGCCGGCCTGGGACACGGGGCTGTGCAGGCCCTGCCTTCCACCAAATTCAGCCCTACCCACACACTATTAACAAAGCACTGATGTCGGCAGCCTGGTGGATTTCCCACCCCTGTGAAGGGGAGACTAGCTGACGACAATTCCAGGAATGCCAGCCGTGAAACAAGGATTCAAACTCAGTCCAAGCTGGAAGCAAGCCCCCGAAGGAGCAGGCTGAACCCCAGCCTGGTGTCGCGAGGGTCAGGCTTGTTCCTGTGCAAACCTTGGTGTCCCCATGGAAGAGGCAGTGGCGGCCGAGAAGGAAACACTGAGGAGGTGTGGTGGGCAGAGGCACAGGGCAGGGACTGATGCCATCGCGGTGAGGGGCTCCCCTTTGGGAGCCAGACGGTAGCCAGGAGAACCGGCTACCAGCACTGCTGGGGCAGAAGCCTACGCTGAATCAAGGAGTGATGAAGGCAGGACGGAGGGGAGGGGTCTTTCTGCTCAGAACTCAAGCGGGGATCCCAGACCAACAGCTGTGCCCCCGCTAACCCCCAGGGGCAGCTTGGTCAGGACCGGCCATCCTGCTGCAGTGCTTCCAGCCTCTGCAGGAGGGCATTTCCGAACGCTTCCCGGTAGGCAGGGCTGAGCGTGTCCAGCAAAGAGTAGACGGTCTCATGGTAGGGCGTCTGAATGTCGTCGTCCACCTGGTCAAAGGCGTAACCCACCACCTGCAAGGGAAGGGCGGCAGCACGTGAGACCCCCCCGCCCACCCACCCGGTTCCTGGTGCCTCCAGAGCCAAGCCCATGGTTTCTCGGCCAGCCTCTGGAGGTGCAGGTCCTACACCAACAGCCAGAGTCGCCAATGTTTAATACACCCTTTTCCCACATAATAGGCGACCTGGTGGCATAGTACATCACATATTGGGACTGTTAACTGCAACGTCCGAGGTTCAAAACAACCAGCAGCTCTGGGAGAGAAAGATGAGGCTGTCTACTCCCATAAAGAGTTACAGTCTTGGAAACCCAGAGGCAGTTCTACCCTGTCCTGTTGGGTTGCTATGTGTTAGGAATGACTTGATGGCTTTTTCGTTTGTTTGTTTGAACACCAGTTCCTCTGGATGTCAGACCTAGCTCCTCCTCAATCCAACCAGGAGTACTGAAAGAAAGTGCACAGCTACACAAACCAAGCCCCCTTCGGTCCCTCCCCTGGCTTTCCCTGAGGGCAGCACAATGAGCACCGGGCACCACCCACTAGGCCAACAGGAAGACCTGTCTGTGCAGTTACTACTGGAGCTGTGTCAACCACCCCAAGTAAAGCCGTGGATCCTACAGTGAACGACACCATGGAGATTGACTTGCTGTCATCTGTCATCTAAGGACCACTGCTATGAACCCCTCGAGCACCCCCAATGAGCCTAAGTAAATGTCGAGTATTAAACTTGTCTTTTTTAAAGCTACACAAACAGCACGCACTTTCACATCCCGAACGAAACACGCTTCTTTCTACTCTGGCCTCTGTTCCATCTGACGCCTCCCTGGTGGTGCCGTGCGTGAGTTCAGTGTTGAATCACCGGATGGGGCATTCAAACTCACTGGCTACTTTGTAGAAGACCACAGAGCTGTGTGTTCCCAGAGAGGGGGGCAGTCTCGGAAACCCCAAGAAGCAGGCAGCCCCACTGTCCCAGTGGGCGGCTATGAGTCTAAATGACCTGATGGCAGTGGGCAGAAGAGTTCAAGTAGCACCGGGTCCTGTTTTTGTCCCTTGTTTGTGTGGAAGCTGTTTCTAGAAGCTGCGTCACTGTAACTCTGCTTCCTAGCAGGGCACCTGAAAAGCCACGACCCTCCCCTGCCAGGGAGCACCGCGCAGCTCTGAGAGAAAAGGGGCACTGGTCTTTGCGGCTGCCCTTCTGTCTTGGGAGCAGAAGCCATCCTTCTCCAGCAGAGCTGCTGGGGGTTTTGAACTGCTGACCATGTGGATCGCAGCACAATGCGTACCATTCCACCACTAGCTTGCTCTTGGCTGACTGCAGCCTGCACACTCCTAGAAAAATCCTCCATTTGAATGACATCTGTTCAAGTCAGACCCTCCCCACCCACCCACAACCACTCCCAACAATCCAATCGGACAGAGCAGAGCACCTGGCTAACAGTCAGAGGCTTAACCCGCCGCCACCAGGACCCCCTCTCCAGAAGACATGCGTGTTCGTGAGAAAGGGCAGGTGGCGGCGTCCTGTATGTAGAAAGCATGGGGCAGGCCTGCAGACCCAGGGCAGGGAGCACGCCTTCTACGGATAGTCCAACTGTGGACACAGGACAGCTGCTCCCTGAAGGAGCCTGCGCCAGCTGACAACCAGCCCAGCACCTGCAACCTGGCAGGCACTGTGGCCAGCCAACTCTTTCTGCAGAACATCCCCACCCCACTGGGGCAGGGAACGGGGGTGGCAGCTCCTGCTGCAGCCCTTCCTTAAACCATCGAGACACAGATACGGAAGCGAGGCTCAGCAGGGGTGACGGGGCCCCCTGTGTTGCTCCGACTAGCCTATTTCTACTGTTTCTAGGAAGAGGGCATGCTTCGAAGCACAGGTTGGGAGATTTACCAAAGGTACACACACAGGCTCCTCGGGTGCACCTCAAGCCCAAGTAGCTGCGTGGTGGGCCAGCAGCCTCAGGTGGTGAAGGTGCTGCCTTGGGGTCAGCCTTGACCTAGGTGGGTGCCCTTCACAGGGTGCTTGAAACACAGCACCTGTGAGCCCGGCAGGAAATGGGGCCCAGGGGAGCAGAGCCACTCGTGTGCCTGGCAAACAACTTCCGGCACAGCGCCTCGAGGCGCTGAAACT